CTGAGAAGCCTGAGGGGGTGGCCAGGGAGAGCTGCCAAGAGAGGGCACCTTTCAGGGGCCACCCGGGAGAAGACAACGTCAGCCTGAAGCGTGTGAGCCGCAGGCCACCTAGGGTGCCCTGGCGGGACTGCCTGGCAGAAGTCATGCTGACCTGGTGACTGTCTAGTATGTCAGGGCTTTTGAGTCACACTCCTTGTGTGTAGCTACAGATGGGAAGAAATAACCGCGTGTGTGCGGGTGTGAGCTTTTTCCCTTCTTTGGGAACCAGTCAGACTGGACTTTGTACCTCCAGTGGACTTCCGCTGCTAGAGCCACAGACCACAGTTGTGGTCTGCATGTCACACAGAGACGTTTCCTGTGAGACACCGATGCTGCCGACCCCCAAGGCACAGCCCGTGCGTGGCAGGTCCCCGAAGGGTCCCCGAATCCCTCCCCGTCGGTGAGTTAACAACAGGCCTTAAAGACCCGCGGCCCACGCGTCCTCTTTGTAGATGAAGTGCGCACGGGGACCTACAGGCAGCTCTTCCACCCAGAGCAGCTGATCACCGGGAAGGAGGACGCAGCCAATAATTACGCCAGAGGCCATTATACCATCGGCAAGGAGATCGTCGACCTGGTCCTGGACCGGATCCGGAAACTGGTAAGGGGGCGCCGAGAGGGCTTCCTGTGGACCCTGCCCTGGACGGGAGGGTGGCGGGGATGGGGACCGGGAGGTCATTTTGGCCAAACCCCAGGCCAGAATCTTGAGTCCACGTCTTCCTTCACGGGTGGCTTCAGTGCATCCGTCGTCCACCCATCTTCACGTCTGCCTTGCTTTGCTTCTGAGTGTCAAGTGTGTGTGCCGCGGCCGATTCGAACGCGTAGCGTCCTGCAGAGGAAAAGAGGAGTGACCGTGGCTCGCTGGAGGTCAGCGGTGTGGCTTCTGCAGGCACTGACCCACAGTCTGTGCTTTCTCTCAGGCGGATCTGTGCACGGGGCTGCAGGGCTTCCTCATCTTCCACAGTTTCGGGGGCGGCACCGGCTCTGGCTTCGCGTCTCTGCTCATGGAGCGGCTGTCGGTGGACTACGGCAAGAAGTCCAAGCTGGAATTTGCCATTTACCCAGCCCCCCAGGTGTCCACGGCCGTGGTGGAGCCCTACAACTCCATCCTGACCACCCACACGACCCTGGAGCATTCTGACTGTGCCTTCATGGTGGACAACGAAGCCATCTACGACATATGTCGGCGCAACCTGGATATCGAGCGGCCCACGTACACCAACCTCAATCGTCTGATCGGGCAGATCGTGTCCTCCATCACGGCCTCCCTGCGATTCGATGGGGCCCTGAACGTGGACTTGACGGAATTCCAGACCAACCTGGTCCCGTACCCCCGCATCCACTTTCCCCTGGCCACATACGCCCCGGTCATCTCTGCCGAGAAGGCCTACCACGAGCAGCTGTCCGTGGCCGAGATCACCAATGCCTGCTTCGAGCCGGCCAACCAGATGGTCAAGTGTGACCCTCGGCATGGCAAGTACATGGCCTGCTGCATGTTGTACAGGGGGGACGTGGTCCCGAAAGATGTCAACGCAGCCATCGCCACCATCAAGACCAAGCGCACCATCCAGTTTGTGGATTGGTGCCCGACTGGATTTAAGGTAGGACTGGGTAATGTGGTGTGGTTTTACCTGTCAGACCAAGCACACAATGCCCTTTGTGGAGAATACCTCCATTCCTTGGCAGCCAGCCCCTTGGTTATAAATTAGGGAGCCAGAGTGATAATTTATTCATTGGTGCCTTTTGAACTTCCTTCCTGAGGAATCACACTATATATCTGTGGTGAGAATTTTTTTTTTGACAGGAAATTTTTGGAACGATTTTTGTTCCTCCTTTTGGGTGGTGAATTAGTGTGGGGAAATGTAGTTTGGATTTAGAAATGTAGAAATTTTCAAAGCATTTTGACAATTTATGTGGATATATGAAATTGGGGCATTATAAACATTGCTGTCACTAAAACCCACTTTATTCCACAGGCATTTAGAAATTAAACCCAATTTAAATGTTCCATGCAGTGTTTGATTTAAAGAAAAACTTTCATGAATATTTTTGGGATAAAATGGCAACATATTTATTTCTCATTTGGTAAGCTCAACAATTTTGGCCTGAGTTTGCCTCCAACATAGTTTATATCAGCCTTCCATTCGATACAGGGTAGGAAACTTGCTGTCGCTTTGCAGCTTTGTCCAGTACTTGAACACTAAACCCTATCAATGCTTTCCATCTGGGAAAATGGGCTTCTCTCTGCCTTGCTTTTCATGCCATCTCTGTTGGCTCAGAACTCACCGCTTCTGGTGGGCTTGCTGCACTGGGTCCTTAACCAGCACTTTCTACTCTGGGTTTAGGGGTCAGCACGGTTGGCAGACCAGCCACCTAGTTTTGTAAATAAAATTTTGTGTGAACACAGCCACACCTGTTAATTGGTGTGTCATTGTGGCTGCTTTTGTGCTACAAAGACAGAATTAGTAATTGTGACCGAGACCATGTGGCCTGCCCAGTCTCGGATATGTGCTGTCTTGCCCTTTATAGACAAAGTTTGCTGAGCCCAGTTCTAATTGACCCTATGTATTGCTGCCCAAATCTCTGGTCACATTGTCCCCTGGTTTGGAAACTATTCTAGAATGCCTCCCCTTTGGTCCCAGCCCTTGAATATCACCCCCATTCTCCTACTTAGCACACAAATAGGCCATCTCCTGTTGCAGCAGTAGCAACAGTCTTCGGACCTCTGACAGCGTTCCTGTCATCCTGTGATGCACATACTGGCTCACTCGATGGGAGTCGGGGGTATGATCTCCCCTCGTAATAAAACCATAGCGCTCTGACTTGAGTGGAAGAGGTTTCAGCTACAGAAGTGAATCCCCAACTGTGGAAGCCTATGGAGAAAATAATATCTGAAGAATAGAAAGTAGTATCTATCATCTGTCTATTTATTTATTTTATTATTTATTTATTTTTAGGAATAACTTTAAGTGCCTTTTATTCCAGTAGTATCCCTTTTTAGAAGAAACAGTCCTGTTACCTGAGCACCACACATGGCTCAGGTGCTGGGACACAGCTCTTCCGGCAGCTTGGGCCCGAGCCAGGCTGGCCGGCTCCAGGGCTCCTTTTTCCCCATTGTCCTTGTCTAGAAACCAACAGCCTGCTCACCTGACACCTCGCCTGGCACGAAGAAGGCACCTACATGTCTTCTGTTTCCATGAAAGCAGCCACCATTTCTGGGTTTGACTGAAGCTTCACGGACTGTTTTCTTTTCTTCCCCTCTCTCGCAGGTGGGCATCAACTACCAGCCCCCCACCGTCGTCCCCGGGGGTGACCTGGCCAAGGTGCAGCGGGCTGTGTGCATGCTGAGCAACACGACCGCCATTGCCGAGGCCTGGGCCCGCCTGGACCACAAGTTTGACCTCATGTACGCAAAGCGGGCCTTTGTGCACTGGTACGTGGGGGAAGGCATGGAGGAAGGGGAGTTCTCTGAGGCCCGGGAGGACCTGGCAGCTCTGGAGAAAGATTATGAAGAGGTGGGTGTGGATTCCGTGGAAGCAGAGGCCGAAGAAGGGGAAGAATACTGAATGGGAGCGGGCTGGCAGGGGTTCTCCTCCCCCCTCCCCCCACCCCCTCCTGCCACCCTGCAGCACATCTTGTTTCCAGTTGTTTACAATTAAAGTTTCTCTAGAAGCGTCTGTCTATGTGATGCACAATGGGACACACATCTCTGCCGGCAGGGATGGGTAGGACCCCAAGGCCTGCTGGGCACATGGAAGGCTGTCCCGGGCTGCACTGTAGGAGTGCGGTGTAGCCCTACTTACATCTGTAAGGAGCCACTGTTGATGTGACATGACCTGGGGAAACCCTCCAAATCAAGGTTTCAAAGCACAAAGATTTCCTAGATTCTAGGAAAATGGAGTTAGATTTTCAGTTGTTGTGTTTGTCATTTTTCAGGCTTCTCTGTTAATGGCACATGGTAAGAGTTTGGAACGAAGTTTGAACATCTGAGGTCCGTGGAAGGGGGCTGTTGACAAAGTCCCTAACACTGTGGGTCACGTGTAGGGTGAGGACATTTTTTTTTTTAAAGATTTTATTTATTTGACAGAGACACAGCGAGAGAGAGAACACAAGCAGGGGGAGTAGGAGAGGGAGAAGCAGGCCCCCCGCGGAGCAGGGAGCCTGACGCGGGGCTCGATCCCAGGACCCCGGGATCACAACCCGAGCCGAGGCAGACGCTTAACCGACTGAGCCACCCAGGCGCCACGGGTGAGGACATTTTTAGGGGGGAAAGATCTTACTGGATTTTGCATGGTATTCACAGCCCACAGGGTGAGCTCTAGGTTACAACACAGTTCATCTTTGACTTTGCTATGCACGTACCCTATATGACAGCATCCCCCCTCCATACTCAGGCCCTTACAGCTGAGCACCCTAGGAACAGTCTCGGCAAAAGCACTACCTTTCCCTTTACCAAAACACGTTGACGTCCATTTATAAAAGATCTAGGAATACAGTTGACCCTTGAACAACAGGAGTTTGAATGGTACAGGGTCAACTGTATAGATTTTTTACAGCATGGTAGTGTAAATGTATTTTCCTTATGATTTTCCTTTCTTTAGCTTCCTCTTATAGTAAGAAATACAGTCTGTAATACATATACGAAGTATGTACTAATCGGCCTCATATTATTGGTAAGGCTTCCTGTTAACAGTAGGCTACTAGTAGGTAAGCTTTGGGGATTCAGAAGTTATACTCAGATTTTCAACTATGCAGGGGGTTGGTGCCCTAACCCTTGTGTTGTTCAAGGGCCAACTGTACAGATATTTTCTCTCCAACCTGAAAATAAGGTACAGGAGGGTGAAATCACTGGTTTAAGTCAGTTCAGCTGTAGCACAGCCAGGCCCACCAGGCAGAACTGATTCTAAATCTTTGTGTCTTAATATATTCAAAAGGTGATAGAAAACAGCTTGGATGGACCCTTGGTTTTTCACAAAGCTTTATTAGCAACTGGGGGAAAGCTCGGGTAGCCTCTGCTAGGGGACTGGCGAAGCCCAGAGCTGGATGGCGTGAGAAGTCTGCCCACCTCAGGTGCTGCTCCGAGTGGGGCTCTTCCCCGGCCCGCCCCCCTTGGGCAGCCTGGTGGCACTGGGTTGTCGGGGCATCCTTTGGCTGGATCCTTCCCGGCCACCGCGCTCTGCCAGTGCTGGGCCTCCACTCAGAGCCGTGCTGCCTTTGTTTCTCCCTGAGCAGACACAGAACACAACCATTAGGAACCAGGGCAGACTCCAGTCGGCACGTTGACTACATTTGTGTTCCTTGCACATTACGTCTAGCACATCTCTGTCCGAGCTTTTCAGCCAGGAACCCCCTGTCAGCCCTGAGGCTGAGGACTGCCTGGAGATGGCACATCCAAGAGAAGTCCTGGGCCGAGTCAGGAGGCCCTCAAGCATGGGTCCTAGGACAGAAGCAGTGCGAGGAGCAATGGGGAAAGTCCGCAAGGCCCATTTCGGGAAAGGTGAGCTCAGCTGGTTGACTCCTGCTCTGGAAAGGGAAAGGACCCGGCCGACCACCAGCAGTGCAGGAGGGCTCACCAGCTGGGCTGCTACCTGCCGCCTCCCCCGGCATGCCCTGCTCCAGACTGGCCACAGTGGAGCCGCGTGCACTGATGGTGCGGGAGGCACAACCATCAGAATGGAAGTCAGGCTTTTGGATTTGGGTCTTGGAAGCTCCTTCACAGGCGTTTCCCTACCCACCTGTCAAGCCTCTTGCCCTCAAGTTCAGCTTCCGGATCCTGTGATTGGGCTTCTGCCAAGGCTTGAGTGCTCAACGAGACTTGCCCTGACCACAGGTAGTCACATTCAGTGATGGAGACCACTGGTGCAGATATCCCTTGACTTGTAAGTTACTTACCTTACCCTCTTTCTGTGAAGACAGGAAAATCTGCAACCACACCTAGGCCAGAGCTTTATTTTAAAGGAATGGCTTCCCTGGCCTCAGGGTGTTGACAGCATTCATAAGACTGACAGGACACCACAGTGGACAAAACGTATACTCAGGGAGCAGGCTCACCCACTGGGTCACAGTCCCTCCCCATTGGGCCTCCCTCAGCCAGGGCTCTTCTCCAGCCTGGCAGAGTCCACCCTGCAGGCTCTGACCAGGGTATGTGTCCTGTGTTTGACCCTTAACCTCAATGTCCGTTAGGAGTCAAATAGCCTGCACTGGGGACTTGTAGGTTTTTGGAGAAAAGACACCATGAGGTTTCTTGGGGGGCATGTTAAGTCATTCCTGTTTTCCCATCTGTCATCTTGAACAAGGGGAGGCACCTGCATTTGCAGTACTGCAGACCCTGGCTCCTCTAGGGCATCAGACTTGCTGTCCAAGCCCCCTGATACAACTGCATTCTCCCCAGGATTCCTGCAGCGCTAGTACAGACCTCCTACAGAGCATTTCTGAACAGCTCCTCTCCAGAGAACAGGGGGTCTCTGCTGCCCAGTGGGCTGGAAAGGGTGACACGGTGGCACACTTGAAATTCTGACAGCTCAGATTTTCCCTTGCTTTGCTACCCTGGGCTTCACACTCAAGTGCTTGCGTATAGTTGATTCAACAAAGATGTAATTAACAGGTTACCCAGGGCGGAGGACATGTGGTGGGGTGAAGCTGGGCCAACTCAGCCTGCCAGTGACTCATGGAAAAGACAGATACAAAGTAGAGAGCTGTCACCACACATTTCCTTTTTCCTGTTACCAATGCTGATATTCTGGTCCCCACTGACTGGTCAGTGGGCAAGGATCCTGTCTCCTACGAGTGCATGCGCCCCACCACATTGCAGCTCCCAACATGCTCTTGCCCACTCTGAGGCCATGTCCCTCTCCAGGCTGGGCCAGGCTGACAGAACTCATCTGTAGCACCTGGCCTAATCTGGGGTACTTAGGTGCCCCACAAACTCAGCTCAGGGCACTTCTAAAGGACTTGCAAGTACAGCTCACCCCCAGCAAATGGCAGGGTGGATCTCAGATGTGGGCCTGAGTCTGAATGGAGCTTTTCTTCAGCATGCCATGCACTGGAATTTCCTCTCCCTCTCAGTATAGTGACCAGGGCCCTTCCGGAAACTCAAGGATGAGAGAAAAGGAGAAAACAGCAAATAATGTTCATCTTTAACCTTGATGAGGCTGATAATCCCTGGAAATAAGACTCCAATGTAACTTTGAGCCATAAAAAGCATTAACAGCACCATCTAACAATGAAAGTAGACCATTTATCCAGCTCTGTGCAATTCTTAGAACCTTCAGGAATCATGTGCTCTCAGTTAGTGGGGAGACTCAGGCAGGCCTCATTTTATGCAGAGCTGGGTAGGTTGAGGAGAGTGACATTCTGGACTCAGGAGAATGGTGTGCAGGGCCTGTCAGTGGTCAGACCCGCTCTGTTAAGCCTGGCTCAGCCATGCGCCCCTGGACCCTGCAAGACTTTCTGGAGCTGGTCCTATCTGCCTCAGGTCCCTGTGTGGGGTAATTAGGGTCAGAGGGAATGGAGGATGGAGCTGAGCCAAAGGTGGGAGGGGTGATATGCCCCCAGGCCCAATACCTGAGCGGCCCTCAAACAGTTGAAGACAATGACCACTGAAGGTTAAAAAGTCTGTTTCCCTTTCCCCGCCCCGAAACAAAACCCCAAGTGCAACCTGAAACACACACCCTACAGCTGGGGAGCTGGCCGACCCCAGTGGGACCTACTGTGCCATCTACCTCTGGTGTGGCCCGTGTGATCCTGACTCCCCATCCCCGCGAGCCCTGCCAGCAGAGCTGGGGGGATCAAGGGTTGACAGCCTGAGTGCGGGTTGCTGCTCCCATCCTGCCTATGGTGCCCAGGAGCAGCCTTCCTCCTTCATGGTGCCAGTGCTCCCTAGTGCTCAAATGGGCTGGTGGGGCTGCTGAGGCCAAATATTAGTGACCATGAGTGCACACCAGATGCATGTTGTGTGAGGAAGGAAAAGAACGGGGTTGAGGCAGCACAGCAGGCGCCCCGATATCCTCAAGGCTGGCTGGCAAGTTGGTGGCCAGGATGAGTGAGCGGCCAGGACCGTCCATCACTGTTGCCACGGGCAGGTCTACACCCACCAGCCAGTCCTGCTGCCCTTTCTGGCTGAGTACACAGGAGGGGCTTATTCAGTGCTTCCAGAACACATACAGACGTAACGACAAGGACTCATGTGCACCGTGGACATGCACACATGCATCTTTAACCCTTACTGTAGCCTATGCTTCTCGGGAGGTGTGGCCCCTCCTGCATGTGTACATACAGCCCTGACTCAGTGTTTCGGGCAAAGTGTCGCTGTGATTGTTCTTGAGCAGCGCTGTCCAATAGAAATATGATGTGAAAAAAAAAAAGAAATACGATGTGAGCCACATGTGTCACTCATTTTCTAGTAGCCACATTAAAAAGTAAAAAGAAACAGGAAACTTAAATAATGTATTTTAATTAGCCCAAATGTGCAACATTATCATTTCAACATGTAATCAGTATAAAAATTACTCGTGAGGTATTCTCTTTTTGTGCCAGTTCTTTGGCATCTGGCCATCTGATGTGTACTTAACCTTGCAGTGAGTCTCAGCTGCACCAGCCCGGGGGGGCTCATGGCTTCCATATTGGACAACGCAGCTCTGTGTCAGGCTCACAGCTTCTGCACACCAAACTTCATCCTACATGTTCTGGAGGAACATCTTTTTAAAGTATACAGTTTCCCGGGGGCCTGAGCGGCTCAGCTGGTTAAGCGTCTGCCTTTGGCTAGGGTCATGATCCCAGAGTCCTGGGATCAAGTCCCGCATCGGGCTCCCTGCTGGGTGGGGAGTCGGCTTCTCCCTCTGCACCACCCTCCCCACCCTCATGCTCTCTCTCTCAAATAAATAAAATCTTAAAAAAAAAAGGTATGCAGTTTCCCTAAACTTCAACAGAGAACACTCAACTGAATTTTATTTTTCCTCAGTGACCATACCCCTACCAAGACAAGCATTTACCCCCTGTGTGCTCTTAGGGTCTTCTGTTTCTCCATCTTTTGCCTAGGAAAGGCAGAAATGAGTGAGCTTATCACTGACAGTCCCCACAAACCACCTGGATGGCCAGGGGACAGGAACCCAGATGACCCGCTGTGCCTGCTGCAGCTTACCAGATCAAACTCCTGAGTGTGGGGTGGGGGCGTCCAGCCCTTGGTCTGCAGCAGCTCCACACCCCAATTCCATGGGAAACCTAAGGCCAGTTAGCCCCAACAACCCCAAGCCCCCATCACAATCCTAGTACTACTACAGTCCCCCAACTGATCACTCTGACAACTCTCCTTGTTTTCTCCATCCTAGACCCTGCCCAAGTTCTGTGTGGACAGATTCTGCACATGTGGCCTCAGAGCTCTTGGTCTCTGACAGCCTCTGTCTCTTGGCCACCACACACTCCTGGCATGGGCCCTCACATGCCCTGCTCCTGTGTCCCGCTCCCCTTCAGTGCCTCCCGACCAAACCCTCTTTCCAGGCTGCCCTCTACCCTCACTGGGCATCTCCCCAGGGTGTCCATGTCCTCATATCCTGGTTGCTGGCTGCCCAACCCAGCAGACCCAAGGCCTAAGCACTTGAGAAAACCTCATGGGGCCCAGCACTCCATGCCACTTCTATCCCTGTGCTTGGGGCTTCCTCCCCACCTCCCTCAGAGCCCCTCTATGCCAGTGCTCCCAGGGCCAAACCCACATTTCCTCTTGACTCTCTACCCTCCCCCACCCCTTTCCCCCCTCCAAACTTGGGTCTGCTCCCATCAGGGGCCTGGGCCTGCATCTCTGGCTGGAGCCCTCCCCACTCCCCCTACCTCAAAGGGCTTCGGGGCAACAGGACTCTGAGCCCGCTTAACACTTGCTGCCCCAGCAAGGCCAGCTACACTGGCTACCTCCCGTCTCTGTCACCACTGATTGATCTAGCCATCTCCCTCCCTGGAAGGAGGATGTGTCCATCTCAGAGCGCCCCTGAGTCCTCAGCCCTGACAGCCAGTTGGGTACCCAGTCACTGGGTGAGCAAGCGGCAACGCCCCCTCAAATGAGGAGGGCTGTTCCCAGTTTCTCTCTCCTGCCCATTGATTCCTCAGTTCAGCCTTGTAATCTACCCACCTCTGCCCTGCCCTGTCCCTTGGCCCTCCCCCACCCAGCCGGCCTGAGCTCCAGGTGGCACCCAGAACAGGGAGGTAGGTGATGGTGGGGAGGGACATGGAGAGGACAGCCAGGGCACCTGTGGGATCTCAGGCCCTCACACACCCAGCTGGTTCTGGGGCTCCAGCCTCATCACATGTGGCAATCCCTGGAAGGTACCCTTGGTTCAGGAAGCAGGCAGGAAAGGGTAATCACAGCTTATACTCTAGGCTACCTGTCCAGGTGGGTGACAGCATTTAAGGGCCAAGGCATATCTCACACCTAAGGCTTTATTCTCAACATCAAAGTAAAGGCTCTCCTGTCCCTCTGCCTGTTGTCCTCTTCTGGGGTGAGGGCACCTCCACAGAGTACAAGTCTCACCTAGCAGAGCTGGCCTCTGGGGAGCAGAGGGTGTTGGTCCCATTCTAGAAGAACTGCAGGTTGTCTCTAATAAACTGAGCCATGAAATTGTGTCCCGACCTCTAAGCTGTGTGGCAGGAATGACCCATAAGGTCCTGCCCTTGCAGCTCATCTCGAAGCTGCTCTGACTTTCTGGGGGCCACAGCAGTTTCCACAGAAACAAGAAAGAGCACCAACCCCCAGAGATAAACCAATAAACGCAACCTGCGAAAGGAGAGAACAGGCAGCAAGAGAACCGGAGGGAACCGGGGGGCCCTGGAGAGAGAGGCGAGTGCGTGGCAGCTGGGCCGTGGAGCAGAACCGGAGAGGCCGCAGGCCGCGGGGCCGAGGAAAAGGAGGGCCTTGCAGGGGGACTACAGTTCTTGGCAGAGAGAAAGGAGGCCTCTGGAGGTCAGAGAGAGACACAAAGAGAGTAGATAGAGCGTGGATCAGTTAGGAAGCCTGCGCTCCAGTGCCCAGGGCCTCTCAGGACAGGGGGCGTGGGTACCCAGGGCCCTGGCACTCCCACCCACGGGGGCCCAGCCTGCACCCCACCCCAACACCAGCCCCTTCTCAGGATGTCTGTGAGTGCCTGAGCGCTTCTGGCCAAGCATTCAGAGCGTTTCTGAAATTGGGAGCAGATGCGACACACCAGGAGGCCGCAGTTGGAGCTCTACTGGACACCCTTATAGCAGCACCTGCTTATCCCCCAGTCATGACTCTCAAGAGTGAGGAGGCCCCTGAAACTTGAGCCCAGTGCTGTGCCCACTCAGGCCTCTGCATCCCGTGTGTTTAGGGTAGCCCGGGGCTGCCACACTGACCCCTGTCCTGCAATCTGAGGAAGGAAGCTCGGCTGGCTATGTTCCTGAGCAGCACCTGGGCCCCCGTCGGGTACAGATGAAGAGGGGGCAGGAGGGCCTCTGCCTGGCCCACTCCCTGAGCACTTTCCTGGACGCTGTACACACCGTGAGAACAGGAACCCAAACCACCTGGTTCCTGTCTTTGTGGAACGAAAGCACTTCTACCCAAGGAGGTAGGCAGAATCCTAGATGAGGCCTGGCCTACTTGGGCCACCCTGGACACCCATTTTGCATCCGCCTGATCTGGACTTGCACATGTGCACTCTCAAGGGTAGCAACGAAGCCAAAGCTGGGGACTGGAAACCAAGAGGGGAGCCCTTGGATGGTCCCTGCGGGTCCGGGGAGAAGACCCACAGTAGAACCCGGCCACTCAGGGCCAAGCCTGCGTTGTGCCTGGCGCTGCCCACTTCCCTCCCCTGCCACCCACCGCCTGAGCCACAGGGGCAGGGCGCACCGGGCCCAGCTCTGACCTCGGGTCTCTGGCACGCTCGATGTGGGCAGAGACACGGCTGCGGGGTCCTGGGCCTCGCCCACCAGCCTCTGGCCAGCACACATGGACTTGAGCATCTGGAAGACGGCGAGGGGCGCCACGTTCAGCTTCAGCAGGTCCACCAGGATCCTGGAGAGAACCCAGGCGGTGGGCAGTGAGCCCTCCTTGCCCGGGCCTAGGAGGGCCACCTCCCTCAGGACCCCAACTCTACTCTGGGCGCCCAAAGGGGTCCGAAAAGGGCGGGAGGGCTCCCCCAGACCAAAGGCCGGGGCAGGGGAGCGGGAGAGCAGGGGCGTCTGGGGGTAGGACGAGCGCGCACTCCCACCCGCTCGCGCTCACTTGAACACGTCGGGGTCAATGGCGCCACCCGCCGCCTGCGCCAGCTCGTACAGTTCCATCTCCTCGGCGCTCAGCACCTTCTTCCGCCGCAGCGCGAGCTTCTGCAAGGCCGCCTCCAGCCCCGGGGGCGCTCCCGGCCCGGGGCCTGCGCCCGGCGCCGCCATGTACACGGCCGGCGAGAAGGTGAGCGCCGCGCTCGCCCCTCTGCCCCCGCCTCCGCCCCTCTGCCCCCGCCTCCGCCGCGCCCCTCCGCCGCTCCCACAGCGCCCTCTACTGGCCCCGCCGGCTCTTCCTCTCCCTGCCGCGCGGCAGAGGGCAGGGACCGGTTTGTCTCGTCTCCGCCTTTTGGGCCGCATTTACCTGCGGCATGAGACGTGATAAAAGCAGAAAAATGTTCATCTTTAGCCCCGAAGGCTGACCTATAACCTGCATAGTTTTGATAAGGATCAATAAGTACTGGCTGCTACATTCTTAAAGGGTCTCATGACTGCCAGTTAATATCGAGCTGAATGATAAGCACCAGAGAAATCTTGGGAAAATAGCTTTAGGACTAGAAATTCCGAGAAGACATTTATGATCCAATACTCCCTGCACGGCTTCTCCGCCTTTTGAACACTAAGCATATAACCACCAGCTTCATACGGCAAAAGTGCAGCAGTTTCTGCCTACAGGTCCTGTCCCTGTTGCTACTTCAATGAACTTACTAAGTTGCACCAAGAGTCTCAAGAATTCTTTCCTGATGGTTGCACTCAGTGATCCACAATAGGGAGATGTGTTAGGCGTGGGGGATACCGAGGCGGACCGCAGAGACACGTTTCTGGGCGATCAGGGTCAGACTGCATTGGTCATTCTCACTTGGGCAGCAGCCCCAGCGCAGTGCCTGGCATATAGTAGGCGCTCAATAAAGGCCTGTCAAAAGATCAGTCATTGCCGCGTACAATTATTCTGCGCCCGTTCCCCATTAGGGGGCGCGCCTCCAGGACCCTAATAAACAGCTTCTCTTTACGCGCACGCGCTCTTCTTACGGCTCCTACAGTCCAAGAACTCAGGGTTAAGGGACGCTGCTGCCCCCACTGCGCACGCGCTATCAGAGATGTAACCCATAAACCCGGCCGGCCTTCACTTTGCGCACGCGCCTTTTGAGATAACTGCCGACCGAGTTGGTGGTGTGTTTCCCGCCAGGCCAGGGGAGGCGTGACGCCAGGCGCAGCTTGATGACGACATTTCGGTGCCGGGTAGCCGAATGGCGGTCTTCGTCCCTTAGGCGAGTGACTTCATGGGTTCCACAGGTGAGTGGTGGGAGCCGCGTGCGGGACGGTCTCATGTCCCCCCGAACCTCCGCCGAAGCCATCTCCGTTCCTGCACGAGCCGCAGGCCTCGAGCCGGACGTTGGTGTGTGTCCCTTGTCTGGCCGACCGGCTGGGAAACCAAGGGCCCGGCTGCGCCCTCATTGCCATCTTCCTGGGCTGCGCCCTCATGCCACCTTCTCGCGCATCTCGCACACCCCGTCCTGGTGGGTGCCCGGTTTACGTTCGTTGAACGAGTTGGCGGAAGGAGAGATTCGAGTTGAAGTTGAGCCTTGGGCTCAACAAGCTGTGTGGGAGAAGAGCCGGGTGTGCATTCTCACCCGGCTCTTGTTCCCTGTGTGGGCCGACCTTCCTGAGCCTCAGTTTCTTCATCTGTAATATGGAGATCCCGATGCTCACTTCACAGGGCAGTTGTGAGCAGCAAATAGGAGCATCCTCTGCTTCTCAAAGCGCAGCCAGAGGGAGGCCTTGGCAGTAGTGTGATTTGCTTGGCGTGATTGGCGTTGCCACTCTGAGAAGAAACCTCAAAAACAAGATCCGAAGCAGCCACTGAAGAAAGTGGCTGTAAAGTGGCGGATGAAGGGAACACTTGGTACACAGTGGAGAAAGGTGTGATGGAGGAGCCTGGCTGGGGTAGGGTTAGAGAACAGGGCGTTAGGAGACACTGCCCTCTCTCGGAAAGACTCCTCGGTTTGGCACCTCTGGGCCTCAGTCCTTGAGCTGATGCCAGGGCAGGCTTCCTCTGAACAAGGAGGTACTTCCACCTCATCATCTCCAAAGCTTTGCTCTTTGCAAACAGGCCAGGATTTTATGCTGCTTTGATTATTTTGCTTTGGTCATTTTAATCAGTGTTCTCTTGGTTCAGGACTGAGGCCTTTGAGGTCTTCCTTAAAACTGAGTTTGACAGCCAGTGTCATGCAGAGAATTGAAAAAACCCTGGAGGTGTTTCTATTGTCAAGAGGCAGAGATTCACATCTCCTCTCAACTCCTCCACTGCCTCACAGCTTCCTTGCGCCTAGTCTTTCCTCATCCACATACACTTCTGTTTGCCACCTCAACACTCTTACCCATGCTATGGGCAGAGCTGTGCCAGGAAGGCCATCGTCGGTGGGACTAGGCAGGCTCCCTTTCTGTTCAGTCCACATCTGGCTAGTTTCCGTTTCTGGCCTGGGTGGACAGAGAGATAGGAATCTAGAGAGTTGCTCCTGATTTTCTGATGGCTTGTTCAAAAGCTCTCTCAGCTGAGCTTGTGCATCCCCTCCATTCATTCCATTCATTCTCATAGAGCACAGGTGACATACCTGTCTCTCTGGAAGATGTGTTCGGAGGTCTGTGTATTAGAATCTTGGCTCTGCCATTTACCAGCTAAGTGAGGGCAAGTGATTATCTCCTCTCTGCTTCCACTTCTTTTTATCTGTATTGACCTCACAGGATTGTTGTGAGGATATACGTTTTTTATTCTTCCTTAACAAACTTAGCAGCTTAAAACTGCATCCACTTATTATTTCAGAGTTACATAGTCCAAAAGTCTAGCAGGCTCCACTGGGTTCTCTGCTTAGGATATCACAAGACTGAAATCAAGGTGTTGGTTGGCTTTGTTCTTACCTAGAAGCCCTCGGAAAGAATCTTTTTCCAAGTTTATTCAAGTTGCTGGCAGAATCCAGTTCCTTCGGGTTGTAGAACTAAGGTCCCCGTTTCCTTACTGGCTGGCAGCTGGAACTGCTCTTATCTTATGGTCCGCCCCCTTGAGACATCAGTCATATCTGCAAAATTCCTTCATAATACCTAGATGAGCGTTTGATTGAATACCCAAGGTTAGGAATCTTCGAGGGCTATCTTTAAAATTCTGCCTACCCCTGAGGATTAAACGAGGAAATATACGGAGGGTCCTTTGAAGCAGGCTAGCTTCTAAGGCACCCTTCTAGGCACCTAGCAAGTGCTGTACAAGCGTTACCAAGGATTCGCCACTGCACACTTGGCTCTGAAGCTGGCCATTGTGGACTGCATCAGCCTGGCATTTCTATAAAACGTGGAATTTGGCAGTGCAGAGTGTATTGAGTTATACAGATACTCCCCTGGGCATTGTAAGGCAGTATAATCTGTTGTGTGGCAGATGTTGAGATGTCGCCTTTGTTTTCTCACAGTGGTTTCCTAAGACGGCCGTTGTCAGCGGCCCCCAGGAGGCTGCTATGGCGTTCCCTCACCTGCAGCAGCCCAGCTTTCTGCTGGTAAGTACCAGCTGCCTTTGGGAATGTGAGCAAGATGATTGCTCTACAGCTCAGGGACTTGCGAGTTCTTTCCCCTGACCTGAACTTTCTGCTGGGGTTTTTTTGAGGGGATGTGAAGGAAGTTGGCCTGGGGGTTAGAATCCTTAGACTTGACCCTGGCCCCTTCCGGTGTAGGATGTTGGGTTTACTCGAACCCCTGAGCCCTGGTTTTCTCATCTACAAGATGAGTTTCTCATCTACAAGGTAAGTTGATTGAAATCCATTTTCACTACTTGTGAAAGGATATACATCAGAATTTTCACATCTTGTATACTTTACACACTTCCTGGGGTATTCTAATAATCGTAACTGTCATCATTGGAAAATGGCGGGACTGCACTCTCAGTATTAAACATGACGCTGGGAAGTTACATGTGAGGCAGATAGCCATGGTGTGAGGATTCCTTATTTCAGTTCCCGGAAGATACTTTCTGTGAACGTTTATTCAGAAGGACATCCTTCCTTGGTGCCCCTTCTAGAGCCAACCCATGCGGTGCTATTGGCATTCAGAGCATAGAGGCCAGGCATGCGGGGAACCTTCCCACAGTGTGTGGCTGTAGCAGCCCAGATCTTTATCTCTGATTGAGACATCACGCTCATTTGGAGGTGGCTGAGGCCTTAGATAGCCTTGGGCAGAGCCATATGGGTTCAAATTCTGGCATTTTCTCCTGATCTTAATCCACACCCCACGACCTCGGGTAGATTTCCTTCATTCTTGTCTTGAATGTTTCCTGGCCTATCCATCGCCTTCACGATTCGTGTCGACGTTTGGTTAAAGCCATCTGTCATTTCTAGCCTGCCTTGTTTCTTAAGGTAATGAATTCATTTGGCTCGTTACCTGCTGAACAGGGGATAGCTTGGTTAAGAGGGCTTCTGCTGTCTCCCTTGTTTTGTTGGGCATCCTCACTGATGATCACAGTGGTGTCATCACGGGTGGTCATCACAGGGAAATTTCCAGTTCATGTGTATACACTCAGGGAGTACTCTGTGGTCTGTGAGGGGTGCCCTACACAATAAGGGTCCTCTTCTGGCTGCAGGGCTGACCGTGGAGCTGACCCCCTGCTCTGGATTGGATGGAAGTCACTTCTGTCGTGAAAATGTGTAGTACCCTGCTGTAACTGGGGATGCCTGACAGAGGGTGCAGGGAAGAAGCCTGAGAGTTGGCTGTCTGGGGAGCAAAGGACCCCCGCCTCTCCTAGTTGCATCCTTTAGGCCACTGACACATGCATGACCTGATGCACAAGATGCTGGGGAGCCATGCCCATGGTGTGTCTGACTCCTGCCTATCACTTGGGTTTCTGTTTTGATTTGAGCCAGAATAAGAGCAAAAGCTGCCAAGTGAATATGCTCATGATTTTTTTGTTTGTTTGTTCTATCTTCTAGGCTAGCCTGAAAGCTGACTCTATAAATAAGCCCTTTGCACAGCGGTGCCAAGACTTGGTTAAAGTCATTGAGGATTTTCCAGCAAAGGTACGGTTCTGCTCGCATCTCTTTAGGGCATGTCTCATATACTCTTTGAAAAACATTCTTATAGCCCCTGATTCCCAACTCTGAGCACTGCCCTGCACAGAGGCCTGACCCAGTATTGGACACATTTATGGACACATTTAAACATGTCAACATGTAGACCAGGGGTTCTCAGC